TACCAAAATTTGGATGATTTTGAATATTCACTTGAAAAGTTATCAAAGAAAAACATTTTTCATTTTGTAACTTCGAGGGCCCGTTACTTGGTAACGAAGGATTTTAGGAAAAAAAGTTATATGAAGTACTGGTGATATTTTGACCCCATCTATACATTCCCGAGAGGAAAAGAGGAAGTCCAGGGACACCCTGTATATATATATATATACAAAATGGTTTTGCCAGATGAGAATCAAAAACTTGTGTTTCATTTTAAGGAAAAATTCGAAATGACAAAAAAAGACACCGCTAACAGAACAAGTTGGAACGTTCCAGTTACTTTTGCAACATCCGAAGACAAAAGCTTTAGTGTAAAAAATGTGGTTTGGTTGGAACCAAACAATGATTTGATTATTGGTTTGGAAGGCGAATCTTGGATTATCTTGAATAATCAGCAAACAGGTAAGAATAATAACTAATACCTATAATCTGTAAATTTTCAATTCTATAACCTGTTTTTACAGAAATTAGCCCAAAGATTTCATCATAAACTGTTTCGATTTACATTGTCACTTTCGTTATCATAGAAATCATTTCACTATAGATATTGTGTAGAAATCCTATGAATGACATCTGATTCGATTCCATAAGAATGTTTGGAATACCAACGTAATAGATAAAAGTATTTTTCGTATAATTCAGTGTTCATATAAAATTATTTGTTTAGAAAGTATTTTTNTTCCATTTCAATGACTTCTGCTGATGATGAGATTATGGTTTGCACTAAGTACAAACTCAATATGTCCGACGAAGAAGATTTGGTTACAAGTCTTATTCAGATGCGTGCAATCTAGCAAAAGAAGCATTCATTCTCTTTTTCTGAGAAGAATGTAAATATGTTATTACTTGGACTCCAGTACTTTCGCTTGCAAAAGATTTTGCTTTCGGGAAGGGAAGTTAAAGAAATGGAGGAACAAATAAACGATATTCAGGATGCTCACAAAAAACTACCAGGCCAGTAACGTATAATAATATTGCGCATGAAGTTCATGATAAAATAGCAGTATTAAATAACTTTACTAAAGAAACTTTGTTGGTAAAACGCGCATCAAGAATAGTATTGCATTTCTGGTGATTAGAAAAAGTGCTCGTTTTGCAAAGTATTTGAGACTTTACGAAACTCGTAGTTTTAAGCTCTTTTCAATTAGTGAGGCCTGGTTCAACGTGGATTTGAGCATGGAAAAAATTCAAATTAAGAACTATATCATGAGATATGATTACGTTCGAAATGAGGAAGTAGTAAAATATCCAGATGTGGGGGTCGTGATTGCCATTTGATATAATCTCCAGTCAAAGTCCATAAAGGTCTTAATATTTGGTTCTGTGCATTGCAATTATATCCGAAGAAGTTTATTCAGAACACTGCAGAGGAATATACTGAAAATCACCATTTACATATACTCTTTGGTGACTAGGTGACTAGGTGTATCTCTGTAGAGTAGGGAGGGTAAGTGTAGGCCCGCAGCACGTATGCCACATGTGACCCATTGTACATCCTCCCGAGGAGTTATCCTCCTAGGTCATCTTCCATCCTGTCCTTTCCAGGAAGGTGGACAGGTCACTAGGAGACATCTCCTTTATATCGGCAAGTGTAGGCCAAGAATCGCCGAACACACATTCTCGTATTGATGATAACTCCGGACACTCGCATAAGACATGTCTGACAGTTCCATCTTCCTGTTCACACATCCTGCATAGAGGTGTGTCCACTACCCCCATAATATGGAGGTATTTCCTTAGTTGACAGTGGCCAGTCATAAATCCTACTGGTAAGCTTAGGTTTCTCCTGGTCATCGTCAGATATTTCTTCGGCGCCAGCTTCCCAGTTTCGTCCAGGGTGATCTTGGCAAGACTGCATCCTTTGATTACATCCCATCTCTTTGGGGATTGAACATGGGTGTGACTTTTGGCTCTAGTACTAGCCCTGAAGTAACACGTTGTCTGTTCATGGCTAATAGGGCTTGTGTTTTGTAGGGTTCATCAAACACAAACCTGGGTTCAATGGCATCACTGGCTGCCTGCAGCAGAGGTTGTGCAGTGAGCGCTTCTCGCCATAGGCTTAACCTCAATTGACCCATCCCTACTTCGTGGTCCAGGATCAATTGTAAATTGTTTCGTAGGTCGAATAGATGACGTATTTTCAGTAATACAGTTAAAAATGAATTGGACGAAGTATATAAAATCACTTTCAGGTAATTTCGTAGAAACTTTTCGAATTGACAATTTTTACAGGGTTCTATAGAGTCAACTATGATGATATCCTTTGGAGTCGTATTATCAAAACTCTGAAAGGAGGCGACATGAAAAACATCCACGTCTTGAATAGAGCTCAACTTATTGATGATGCCTTCAATGTTGCTCGTGCTGGAAAAGTCAATTATATGACAGTTTTCAGTTTGGCTGATTATTTAAAGGGCGAAACTGAATATTATCCTTGGTTCTCAGCGTTGAATGCAGTGTCATACTTGGTGGATCATATAAATGATAATGAAACCACCATAGTGTTGAATGTAAGTATAAATTCATTGACTACGAAAGCTTAGATTTGAGAATACCCCTTGCCGCACTTCAGGATTCACTTGCATGTGCCTGTAGTCATTCCATTGTTTTCTACTTTCATGGATCGGACCGGAATTCAAACCTGGATTTCTTGTTCTCTAGACAAGCGCTTTTATCAACAATGTTGCTCTTCCGTGGTGATTGTATGGAGTAGATGAAATTTGTTAATTGTCTTTCACATATAGGAGCATGGCAGGATTTTATAATATAAATGTCAATGCATGAAATAAACAGAAACGAAATACAAGATGAGTTAGCGTCTCCTATTCTGTAGACAAGAACAACAAATCAAAATAAATATATAGCAAGTGCCAAACGTGATGGCGAGTCATCGCACAGGTATGGACTCTCCCAACTAAATTACTATTGGATTACGATAAGCCCCTTGCCAGCCAGTGTCGTACCTAAAATTAGTTTCAATTAGGGTAGCAAATGAAATATGATTTCTTTGTAATTTCTTTTTGTATTTTATACAGTATTATAGGTAGTAGGGCATTTCTTCAAGATGTTATATAATGATACACTTACCCATAANAATCATATAATAAATTCTCACCCGCACATATAATGAAATTAAATAATCAACTGGAAAATGCAAACATGGATGAGAAAAAGGCACTTCCTGGAGTTTATGTTTTATGCTCCTTCCAACACCAAGTTCTATCGATAAGTTTGGAAAATGTTCACTGAAAATAGTTTCCAAAATGTTCAAATAATCTATAAACTTTTTATTTGGAGTTTGTAGATTTCCAAAAGTATCGTTTTTTGCATTTTGATATGCTCTGAATTACGTGTACAAAGTTTCTGCACTTAATAATTTACATTCTCTAGCATACTTAATGCAAATGTCACATTTGTGTTTTTCGAGACATTTTTGTAGGTAGGTAGGTTGGGCGAAACCCATGAAATTCGACAACTATGGAAGAGTTGCGTGCCTGTCTAAAACTCGTCGTTTGCGCAGACCTGAGACTGCAACTCCTGGGTCTGTGTGTGGAAAATTCAAACCAAAAATCACCCGAAGTGGGATTACTGTATAAGTATACATTGGTTTGATATTCAGGTCACTCAACGATGGTTCATACTGTAGCTATCAGAATTGGCCGAATACTCCTGGAAAAAGTTTACGAGAAAACCAGGACAGAACTTTCGACACGAATTTTCGATGCCGGTTTTTAGGCATTTACTTCGCGGAAGGTGTCGAAAGATTCGTAAATAAGTCCGCCGTAACGGCGGGGCTGATTATGATAAGCTCTGACCGCTGTGACTGTACTTGTCAGCGGGCTTTTCAGAAGAAACCACTTGCAGGGTTCGTACGCCAGTTGGTGGATGAAATCTTCAACCGACTGTCTTGCAAACGCTCCGATGAGACGTATCGATGGCTGACAATACCAAGCACCTTGTTCCGTATTATTTCAAGCCTCGATAATGGGGTATATTTGAGACAGCATAATACAGGGTAAGCGTACAACATATCCGGCTAGATAACTTGTTTGCATATTAGGAGTTTGCTGTCAACACCAATTTGGAATTCGTGCAATGAGGGTCGTTGCGTTTTATTGCCATTCCCGCTCTTTGAATTGCCAAACGTAAGTGCCCTCGAAAGTTCAAGCGCTTGTCCACGATCACTTCCAGGTATTTCGCACTACTATGTTCATCTATGCACTTCCCTTGAATTTTTAATCACCTGAAGATCTTTACATCAGTTGTAACCTTCCTCAATCAATTGCGAGAGGTTATGTTTTCCTGAGTTGGTCTCGATTTGAAGAAAGAAAATGATACAACTCAGTAAATTTCTTCGTGAAATTGACGATCTCAGTCTTTGAAGGATTCCTCCCGTATTTTAAAACATTGGAAAGTTGCCTGTATAGGTGCGGAGGTAAATAGGACCACTGTGAAACACCTTTCGTTGAAAAATCCGTAGAGATAGGTTGTTGGATTCGCACCCTAAACGTCCGTTTGACCAGATAAGAATCTGATATTCTTATCATGTATAAAGGCATGTGTGCCATCCACATTTTCGCAATGAATTCCTCTGCTCAGACGCTGTCGAAGGCTTTGTGAATGTCAAGCAGCACCATGACTGTGTTCTTATTCTGGTGAAAGGACTCCTTTATCCCATGAACCAGATATACCAGCTTTGAGGTCGTATAACAATCCTGCTGGAATCCGTACTGTGTAGACAGGAACATTTACCATCTACGCTTTTGGAATCACCAAGCAGAATGATACCCGAATCATTCTCATCTGAAGTATTTCGTCCTCTTTACTATGAAATATCATGAACATAAAATCATTCCTGATATATTAAAATCAAATTTTATGTGGAAATAATGTAATTTTTTTTCAGAGAAGAATATTACAATGGATAAATGCTGCTTTTCCAAATTTGAAAAAAGTTGAATCAACTGATCACGTCGGAATATTGAAAGAAACATTGATTTTGAAATGGAAGTGTGAGTTGAAACATGAAGATTGTCTGAAATATACCAGCTCAAATTTCGAAAGTTTCAAAACTACAAGAAGGTAACAGTAGGTCGAATATTCTAGCTTGGCCTCTGAGATACATAAAAGGAAGTGTGGAAAAGTCACTATGCCACATATGTTGCATAGTGATCAGGAAATTGAAGAATGCTGACTATATCAAGTGCAACAAAAAAAAAGAGTACAATAAATTGTTGAAAAAAAAAAGAGAGGATTTCTACCATCTCATAAGAAAACGGAATGTATGTAGTATATTCATTAATATACATATAGTAGGCAAATATAAAGTTACAAGCCAAGTATCTCTAGGGAATACAACAAACATTGCCAATCGATACAAATTATTTTTATTGAACATTATACCTGTTTCTCGAATAATTTATTGATAATGTTGCTAGTATTATTTCCTGAACAAATGAAAGTTGCTTTGAAAACAGCCGTCTATAAGAAAGGAGATTGTGAGTTATTTGAGAATTTTCGACCGATACGCGTTTTACCATCTTTTTCTAAAATTTTTGAGACGGTCATATGTGATAAAATCATAAAATTCATAAAAAAGTGAAACCTGTTAAGTTCTTTTCAACATGTATATATGAAAGAAAGATCAGAAGAAACGGCAAAACTTGATAGATATGGAATTAGAGGTGATATCTGGAAGTGGTTTGATTCATATTTGTCAAACCGTCGGCAAAAAACTAAAATCATGAGCGCGGAAATATATTCTACGGAAGTGCAGAAGGGCCACATATTTTTATTATTTGTTTCTTGGAAATTACGACTTTGAATCTCGAAATTTCACCAGCGGGGCAGGCACAAAGTATGTGCTCTGCTGTTTCATAATTTTCCAAACAGAGGCGACACACACTGTCTATCGACAGTCCGAGTCTCTGTATATGATGATTCAAACGGCTGTGACCTGTAAGAAGGACAGTTAGACATCGTAGTTCATGCCTACTGTAGTCCAACAACTGTTTTGTATCAAGCTTCGAAGGGTGAATAGACGCCTTGAAGTGAGCCAATCCTAGAAGATTCTGCCAGAAGTGAATAAATCTCTTTGCCATCCAGGTGTTCAATTTTTGTTTGGAAAAGTCTAAAGCGATGCCAATCACAGGTTCTGATCCAATGAAGCTGCTTGCAGCACCGTCCTTTTGCAAGGGAGCCAGCAGCCTTATTACCTTCCAGGCCAGTATGGCCAGGAATCCAGACCAGAGACAATCTGTTAAGCCTTCCTATCGAGGAAAGTCGTTTTTGGCAATTTGCTAACAATTTAGACGTTGCTCGGTAGGAGCCAAGAGCTTTGAACGCCGCTTGACTGTTCGAGAATATTTTTATTGACTTGTCTATGAGTTTGAATTTTTCCAATAGCGTAAGAAATACAGTCGCAGAGGTTCCTAGGCAGGTTGATATGTCTGTCCTGGGTCTGCGACTGAAAACATATCTACTCTCGATATTTCCTTCTCCCGGAGGATCCAGTTCTCTCTACTCGGGAACAGTACCTTCTTGTAAAGGGATTGGGAAATTTTCTGTACAAGCTTATTTGAAGCTAAATCTGTCGATTTGGCAGTTTGAAAAGCATACTGGGGGATGAATATAATGCCACCCTCCTGATGTGTCCATCCAGTATCCTCTCAAGTCCTTTCAACAGGAAGGATGTAAGGCTTATTGGTCGTACCCGACCCATTTTAGGTATGTATACCACCTTTGCTGCCAACCAACTGGGTGGTATATAGTTCCATGCCAGACTAGATCTATACAAGTTTATGAAAATAAGTAAAATTATTTCCAGTCCGTTTTGAAGAAGAGCTGGAAATAAACCATCCTCTCCAGGAGTTTTGAAGGGCTGAAACGACTTGGTAGCCCATTCAACTGCCGGTTCTGTGATACCTTTCTTGAGAAGAAAGAAATTTAATTCTTTGCTACGGAATCAGAAACAGCAAGAACCCACAGATTGATTACAATTTTTTGTTGCATGTTTTCCAAAACACAAATTCAACTTGTGAGCGGGAAAGTATACTTACGTCTTTAGGTTGTATTTCGGAACCTAAAGTTCTTTTCAAGTGAGTAGTTTTCATTAATCAAACAGTGCAATTTATGCATTCGATTTTTTAGTTATCTTTTGGAACTCGTGACTGATCATTCAATTATTCCACACTCGTATGCTTCGCTAGTTTTCGAAGCAGTTTATTCAAACAAGGCCAGTGGCGTAGATGTCACCTTAGACTTTTTGCTGCAAAATATCGAACTGCTTATGGAAAAGTACGTATTCCAGCTGTGTCAAATATTATCAGTAGTATCATAGGCCACTTTACATACTATCTGTTGAATGGAATACCATAGATTTTGATCTAATTACTTAACAAGCCTCATTCCTCATTCACACGAATATACAAATCTAAAAAAACCTTTTCCCTAACCAAGTTATCATCATCAGAAGATCAGGAGATGATGCTAACTTAGTTTGTTTGTTTTGCTGTTGTCAAAAACTCTCGATACGAAAAATGAGATCAGCCCAACATTATACACATGTTGGTAGATGGTGCGAGAATCGAAATCTGTCGTGCGTATTTTGTTCAATTATTTACTCAGCACCCATATGAATGAAATGCAGAAATTTGTTGCATCTCTTTATTATTTATTTATGGAAAGTGTCGTAGTTCGAGAGTTTTTGACAAAATCCAAGTGATCACACTAGGAATAACCTATGCGTCTTGAACTGTTTCAAAATAACAGTTTTTTTTATCGTACACTCTTATGAAGACTCTATTGTAAACTATTCGCCAAACAAATTCGCCTACTCGTGATTACATGGGTTTTTGCACCTAAAGTTTTCACCTGAAGCGTAAGGACCTTATTTTGGAAGTGAGGCGAGATATGTCGGCAGTGAATAAAAGTCAAAATGATATTTTCTCATTCGAACAACGATTCAGGATGAAAAATCTATTATCTTTGATACTTTTTTATATATCTACACATAACACTCGCACTACATTTTTTCTCGCACAGTTCATCATTTTAGGGAAAACTCTATTATATACAGAAATGCTGAAACTTTCCTTAAGTACTATGGTAACGTAGTCATTTTTTGTTTCTGACTACAATCCTATGAAACAAAATTAAAATGTGTGTTTCCATAGACTAATCTCATTGATTAATTCAATAACTAGGTTATTGTGAAATTGCACATGATTGTAACATCATGGTTCCCTGTTTGCTTTTTAGAAATGTATATTTAAGTGTCAATGCATATGATGTATAATTTTTTTAAGAACTTTATTCAGATAATACAATCATGGTTACAAAAAACATTTTGAATAGTATTTGAAATACCAACACTATCAAAACCAATAATCCAAAGCAGCACCAACATGCGGAAAACTAGCTTAAAACAATATAATAATACTTTGTACAGTACAACAAAATGATACTATCAAGATTCATAATACAAATGTAAACAAAATAAAAATCTAATAGTAATTGATAGAGAGAAATGAAAAGATTTAAGCTGTTCCTTCGTTGAATATATGGGTGATATGGTTATTCCAGCATAGGTTTTCATCGACTATTAGTCCCAGATATTTGGTATTATGGACTCTCGTTATTTCTTTGCCTCCTAACTCCACTATCTTAATTTTTTTTCTGAGAGAAGATTATTAAAGAAGTATACTTCACATTGATCTGAAGTGTTCGAGTCTTTACCTTTATATACAAGAACAGTATCATCTGCGAATTCAAAGTGTCTACCTATAATGTTAGCAGTTTTCAATGACAGAACATGTGATGTATAGAGTAGGGGCCTTGGGGCTCAGTCCCTGGACCCCTACTCTATACAGTTTGGTAGTTTCAGTTTGGCTTGAAATGCCATCAACCACTGTGAATTGTTTGTGATCTAGGAGGTATGTTTTAGTGAAGAGAGAGCATTTCCTCTTTTTCCCATTTCTTCAATTTTTTCAAGTAATATAGAGAAATCAACAGCATCAAATGCTTTTCGTATATCAACGAATACAGCAATAGTGTGGTATTTATCATCCAGTGAAGAAGCAATGTGGTTAATGAAGTCTTTAGTAGCACTGTTTTCTTGGAATTCATATTGGTATTGATAATACGCAATAATAATCTGTTTAAAATCTGTTTTTCCGTTAATCAGCTGTCGCCCCCATACGAACGTCAACTCTCAGAAGTTGAGAAACTTGTGCGAGCTAAGGACTAACGAGGTCTTACCTTTTAACGTGTGATTCCTAACACGGTATTTTCGAGAAAATATTGCTGTAGTGACAATTGGATAAAGCTACTAGTATGTATTGTCTTCTCATCTGTTTATTGGATACTTTTTTGTTGTTTGAATCTCTGTGTTCTCTGGAAAATACTGTTTTAGGTTCCAACCTGTTAGTATTCCGAATTGAATAAATGAATGAATGAATGATAATAAAGAAATACCTCTTGAAATACCTGAATACGGAATTTTCATTCAACAAAATTATTACACCGAAAGGTTTAGCGTTATCAAATCGCAGTTTGGCTCCAGTAACATCCGTTATTAGAAATTCTCTGACAAGATGCCGTGTCAGCGTGTTCTTTGAAGCATTTTTTAAGGAGAAAAGGAATTACGGAATTCTTCACAATGTATGAACTCTGAATCAATCATGCAAATCTAAAAATGAAGGGTGTGAAAAAATAGTTGCAATTGTCTCATTATAGATATTTATCATTTTTCTTGAAATTTAGATTTCCTACTCTTTTTTCAATGAACGGATTCTATTGTTTATGTGGAATATGTATATCTATATTTTGTCTAAATTTCCGAAATTTGATCAACAGAAAATTGTTAAATGTGTGAAATCACTTTCTATAAGCACATACATGTGATTTTATTAAGGTATTCTACTTATAAATCTTTCAAACAAGTATAAGACAATGCGTACTATTATTTTAAATTCCATATTTCGTTTTGTTTTCATTCTCAAACTGATTTGTTTCAGACACAGAAGAACATTCAGCATTTCTGATTTTATCATAGGATTAACTGACAAAATTAAAACGGAAGAGCAACTGAAAAAGGTAAAAATTAAAAATATACTGTTATAAAATTTTTTATATACATTTTTAAATGCATTTATCAACTATATGTATACAGTCATTCATTGGTGATACTGTTTCCTTTTTTTTTAGCTCCAAAACATCGTCACAAATAACCCCAATTTGGACGATTTATCACTGGTCGGAGGCAAAATGATAACCAGAATCAAGTACAACTTAGAGTGGACAGAAATGTACACTGAAGTGATAAAAGAAGCTCTGCCAAAAACATCAAACGCTGTAGGAGCACAATCAAACACTTTCGTTTTCACTTCAGCATGTGTATTATCGTGTGTTTATTTATACTTATTAAAATAATTTTTAATCTCAAAAGATAAAGTTTTTCAATGAATTCCATACCTACTTGTATTGAGATAGCGAATTTCAAGAAAGAAATCCTTTGCTAGGCTTATTCGTAAATAATACAAACTATTCTTTGTTGAATTGATATTTTCTTTCACCATAGGTCACTTGCATGTTATTCCAGAACTTATTTCTCAGGTTGCATTGTTATTGAAAAAAACTCATTAATTAATTTAAATTGAAAGGGGGATTTTTTTAAAGGAGTTTATTTTTTTGGAAAACAGACTTTTGACTTTCTACTTCCCCATCTTTATTCAGAAAATGTATAGATCATACATAGAAGTTCATTTCAATCACAAACTGGAAGAAAAATTTCTTTTCAAAACGACTACTTCCACATGAACATTGAATTGCACGAAAGAAAAAGTCCTTTCGAAACAACTACTTGCAAATAAATATTATACTCCAAACATTCGTTATGGAATTGAAGCAGATATCATCCACAAAAACGTGAACATACGAGTATGAACGAGAATTGATATGAAATTTGGAAATCTATCATTCTTAAGGCGGCCTAGATTTGTTTGGAAGGGTCATAACAGGTGACAAATCATGTTTAGTTATGGCATCGAAGCTAAAGTTCAGTCGTCCCAGTGGAGGATCCCAGGAGAGCCAAAACAAAAAAGCACGCCAAGTTCGATCAAATGTCATGGTTTTTCTCACTGTTTTGTCTGATTATCATAGCGTAGTGCATCAGGAGTTTGTGCCACACGGTTGTATAGTCAATAAGGAATATTAATAATAATTAATAATAATTGTTTAATGCTTGCCGGTAAAATAATTACAGAACTGAAAACCTCAACCCAAAGAAGACAGCAAAACAAAAGGAGTAGTGTTAGGTCAGTTCCACACTCTTCTAAAAAATTGTGAATAATAAATCATTAATGAAAAATCTACCTACTTATAATAAGGTACGTACTCATAACCTAAATGAATGATTAATACTTATAATATATCACTGGTTAACAAATATAAACTATAAAGATAACATACATTTTATACACTAAGTTATAACATTGGTGGGTCAACAAATTTTGTTTTGTTTTGAAGGAATTCAAAGACAATGCAAAATTGGGAATATCCAGTGAAGAGGCAGTTATAGCAATCTGATAAGAGAATAAGAATTTAAATATCTCTTTTTTATGCATGGAATATCAATAAGATTCTTTCTCTGCAAATTAAGATTATGAACATCTGTCATGTATGTGACTGTCCTGCACAGATATTCAGGTGTATTTGTATCGAGGATTTTATAAAAAAACAACGCGAATGTATTAAACGATAATTATACATACTTAACCAGCCCATTTCCTTAAGCTTATGTGAAATCCTATCTCTTCTTTTTGAGACTGAGAATTTAGACGTAGATATGAATTTTGTACCTTTTGGATACGAAAGTCATCAGTATTTCAAAGAAAAGGACCATAAACTATGTCACAATGGTTGAAATGTGATAGAACCATCGACTCGGTTAACATTTTTTTTGTTTTTAAATCCATTTAATTTCGATGAGGAAATAACAATTTCATAGCTGCGTATGCCGTTTTTAGTTTAGAAGTTTAGAAATGTTTGTCGAATCGCAATTTTGAGTCCAGATGTAAACCAAGACTTTTAACATGATCGCTGAAATTGAAAACATTATCATTGATACAGATTGTCTTGAGGTTATGCTTTTTGCGAGAAGCAATACGAAGAAAACGTCTGGTTTTGTGTGAAAACAATTCCTGTCTTTTGCATCACGATTATACACTTGCTCACTCGTCACTGCGTGTTCGTAATTTTATTACCAAAAACAACAATGTTATCATGCCTCAGCCACCGAATTCACCAGATTTGGATCCCGGCGACTTTTTTCTGTTCCCAAGATTGAAGAGATCCATGAAAGGACGGCGTTTTGCGACGATTGAGGTGATTGTTGTGTTTTTTGGTTATAATTAAACAAGTGTTCAATGCTGCTCGTTTATTACTGTGGGAAAATATATTCGGTCTGCGGTACATTCGGGCCCGAGAGACTGTCTTTATCTGATGGAGTGCAGGAGCGTACTCTATAGTTTTCCCCTATTCACTACACATCTCTTCCTCGCAGGAAATACACGTTAATAAAAATGGTAAACACTTATGAATGTCAGTTTTATTTTACAATGCAGTAAATCGTTCTGGATGTTTCAACTAACTCCGTCTTCGCAGACATTTGTCGCCATTACTATGGTCTTTTTCTAAAATGTCGGATTGACGGTCACTTGACTCTATCTCTAAATTAGCGTTTTCTGGCCTTGGCGGTAAAATACCGTCTTTTAAGAAGTTAGGACAATTTTTACTGTCTTGACTTTTCAAAATTTGACCACCGTATTCACCAGATTTGGCCCTCGGCGACTTTTTCCTGTTCCCAAGATTGAAGAGATTCATGAAAGGACTGCATCTGGCGACGATTGAAGTGATACAAACTGAATCGTTGGGAGAGCTCAAGGACATACCAAAAAGTGCTGGCTCAGGTGAGAAAAATGAAAGTTCACTAACAGACCTGGTACTTCTCGCAATTTCGAATCGGAATCGCTTGTCCTCATCAGCACCTATTTAGGCTTTTCAATACGAAAACACATATATTTTTAGGAGATATTTGTTTTTGGAAAAGGAAGATTTTGGCTTCCTCCATCTTTATATAAAACCTATTTCCAAAGACATTCATATTTGATTTTGATTTAATTCCAGATGAAGGAATTTCGTTTTAATTTGAAGGGGGAATATTTTTAGGAGAAATGATTTTTAAGAAAAAGGAAGTATCCCACATATTTTGTGGGATACTAATTACAATAGTAATAATATAGTAGTAGTAATAGTAATATTGAAGTAGTATTATCATTCATTTTCTTTTTCAACAAATTTAATATCATATAACGATAGTCATCACGATTAACCTAATACCTAAAGTTAAACTAGACACAGTTACACGGATGATTGGAACATTCATCGTGAAACTCGGAGCATTTACCTTGTTTGCGGATGACACTACGGTACTTTGGCTCGGTCTGTCCACTCAGATTTAGGAAAAATAAAAAAATGGTGGGAATCGAATAAGCTATCGCTAAATGTTTCTAAAACAAATCTGATAACATTCAAGTGGGACTTAGAACAAGTAATACTAGGTGAATATATGATTGAAAGTAAGACTGTAACTGAATTTCTTGGTATATTCATTGAAAGTAATTTAAAATTTGATGCGCAAATTACTGCTTCTGGTTGCTTTGCCATAAATGTCATATCTCGTGAACTCGGATTTTCAGCAGCAATAAATGCATACTATTCACTTATGGAGAGTCGTCTCCGGACGTGAACTTTGCCATCTTGAGCATACAAAAAGTGTATGCTCTGCATGATCTTGAAGGCCGCAATAGGTGCATCGGTCTGATTCTACTCTTCTCCGGTCATACAAATACTATCTGAAACACCCATGTCCAGATAGGGCTTGGGTCAAGTAGTAGTCTACCTCCCCGTACGGTCTATCAATCCATACATGAATATCAGGAATTAAAGGGTGGGTCCATCTTCCATATCTGCCATTGTTCCAGATGGTCTGCCATCTGTCAATGAGAAGAGTTTTTGCGGTTTGTTCGATTACTTCATTGTATTTGTCCAGTCGTTCATAAATAAGAAGTTTTACTGGGGGAACTCCAGATATCACCCCAGCCCCTTCTGCGGAAATTGTTCTATAGGCGGAACATATTCTGATCGACATTTTGCGTTGGACACTCTGCAATTTTGAGACCAGCTTTAGGTTTTCTGCCGCTGTGTACCACGCTGGTGCGCCATAAAGTAATTGCGAGAGAGCCACACTCTTTTCGACGCTATGTGGAATAACCCCAAAGACGTATATAATATCTGAGACAAGAATTTGCTAAGCTGTGATGAAGTAATAACAACTGCATTTCCTGTAAAATTGGTAAGTAATGATAATAATCTATTAACAATATCAATAACAACAATACTAGTTTGTATTGAACATGCCTGAAGAAGCTATTGTCTAGTAAAACAAGTGTTGTGGTTTTGTGTTTAGTGGACATCTCGCAAAGGAGTGTTAGTTGAATGTACTGAAGGGTTATTTTCCTCCGGAAAAACTTCTGGGGTAGAATTCGTCACAGAAACTTAATGAAATCTTTTCTCGAATACGTTGCATCATCAGACATGGATAGATGGTGAATAAAGTGTACTCATATCTATTGGGAATTCCAATAATAACTCAAGTTGTGTCACCCATATTTCGAATAACACAATTGGGAAACATAGAGAGTCAAAAGCTGTTGCTTTTCATATTTCTGAGGCCTTTGACCGTGTGGGAGTTTGTTGGCCAAACTTCGATCACATGGCTTGTCGGATCTTTTTTTTGTATGGCTTCCCAGCTTCCTGAAAGAATGTTCCCTGCAATACCTGGTATTGCAACACTGGTGTTTCCCAGGGATCTATATTGTCTCCAACTTCATTTTTATTGTATATTAACGACTTATTGGAAAAAACGGAGAATCCAATAGTTTGCTTTGCTGACGCCAGCACACTTGTCTCGTCATTCTATTTGGATTCCAGGACACCAGTATATTAACGACTTATTGGAAAAAACGGAGAATCCAATAGTTTGCTTTGCTGACGCCAGCACACTTGTCTCGTCATTCTATTTGGATTCCAGGATATTGGCTGCGGATGCACATCTTCACCGGCAGCAGGAGATTGCATACCTTAATGAGGATCCAGAAGTGATTTCGAATTGAAGTGAAACTTACCAGGTTCAATTCAATGCCACTAAAACCCAGGCATCGGTTCACTTCAAAAAGATAAATGTCTTCGAAACGGATATCATAATGTCAGGACAGACAATTCCGCTTTTCGCTTCGATAAGTTTGTTGGGGGTTAGAATGGATACCAATATGTCTTGGCACAATCACGTCGCTGGAATTGCGAAAACTGCTTCTCAAAATCTTGGAAT